GACTGTTGGTTTGTTGGCAGATTTACTCCGACTTTGAAGGAAGCACCCAATTAGTCGACTTTTACAACATACTTGTGAGTAGGCAGTGGATCTATTCTTGCTTTCCCTATAATAGGGTCCCAGAATCCACACTTGTTTTTTTTTTTTTTTTTCCATGATAATAATCGGGATTATGATTTTAATCACAATGATGATACAAATGATGATGACTATGGTAATGGTTTTGATGATTGTGATGGTGGTGGTGAAAATGATAAGGGAGAAAAATGGAGGAAGGATGTACTGGAGGCAGGAATAAATGCACATTAGGCATTCCCATGCGTGCTCAGTCCTCTTATGCAGCAGCCATTCCAAGGGACTTCTGCTAATTTTTCTACTGTCTCCTACCTCGGCTTTAAATGTGGCATAGACGTGCTTTATCAAGCTTTACTCCCATGTCACACAATCGTGTTAGTGTCAAAGATTCGACTTTATCCGCCAGTCCAGCCCGTACAGATCTGTTCAAGCTTCTTCAGACATGCGAATATCACTGGGTTTTTGTTTTGTTTTTCTCTAACTTTTATTTCACACAGTATTTGAGAGCCAGTGCGGAGACACAGATAGATCATTTGGATGTCAGGAGAATGGCATTGCGTGGATTTACCAGGGCGGATATACAATCAAACAGTTACTGGTGTCATCAGAATTTGAACTCTTTACTTGCTGCTGAAGATGGGAACGGATCGCTTATGGGAGTGTCCCGATTGATGTGATGAAGGAGGTTGAATTGTCAAACACAATGACATGGAGCATGATGAGACAAAACGATAAATATATATTTCAATAATATAAACTACGTTTTGGAGACTCGACAATGCTAAAAATGTGTATATATTTCTCTAATTAAACCAGGGTATTTAGACTCGACAGTGCTTAAGGACGTGGACATATTTTTTCGTATATCAGCCACGTGCGAGCGACTCAGCAATACTGCAGATGTGTACATAGTTTTTCTTAACAGAATCTGTGAACTCGACAATGTAAGAGATGTGTACAATTTTCTTTTAACAGAGATGGAGACTCGACAATGCTAAAGATGTGTACATTTTGCTTATCCTAAAGAGGATTGTGAGATTCTACAATGCTAAACATGTGTATTAAATTTACATGACAGAGTCTGCAGACTCCACTATACTTAAGTTGAGTACATATTTTTCTTATCCCAGCCTGAGTCTGCAGACTCGTCAATGCTAAAGATAGGTACATATTTGTCTTATATTAACCAGGTTCTTAAGGATATGCACCGTGCACAAGAGAGGAGTGACGGCAGGAGTTGCAAAGAAAATGTTTGTAGCAATCCTCATCTGCAGTAGCACGTTAGACACCCCTATCTTCTGGCTGTTCGGGAAAGGCGTTATCTATGTCCCCGAATACGGCGTCAAGGTCACCTATTGCTTTCTAAGAACTGACCAACTGGAAACAACATTGTTCTACGTCTTTTTTGTCATATCTCTTATATTTTTCATTGCAACTTCTTTGACACTTAGCATTCTGTATTTTAAAATCATCCGGAGACTCCGACAACACACTATCGTTCACGACAGACTGTTCGCTTCACCTTCACTTCCCCCGTCAGATACGAAACGGCGTTCATCGACAAGGGAGGCAATGAAGAACTCCATTGTGACGTTCGCCATTATCACAGCTCTGTATATTATCATCAGCTTTATGTTCCTGCTCACGTTGTTGTCGCATGTCTTCGGCGGACGAAAGAAACCAGACATGAGGCCACGAGCACTAGCGATTCGTGACTTGGTCAAACAAGCTCCCATGTACATTCATATCATCAACCCGATCATCTACAGTTTTACCTCGTCAGTATTCCGGGAAGAAGTTCGTCGTTTGCTGCTATGCCAGGTTTGTATCAGCCGTTTTGTAAGGTCATTTACAGAACGTTGCTCTCGTCACATCAGGCCTGAAAGAAACTTCAGCTCCCCTGCCTCATGTACGTTCCTGCTCAACTTGACGACTCTGATGACGTGTGCCCATCTTCGCACTGGTCAGTCCCTGCCCATTTTACGATGTTACCGTGCACTTCGCTACAGTTTCTTTTTTCCCATCCACTTTGAGGTCTGTTATAGCAACAGCATTTCACTTTCCTACATAGCAAGTTTCTTCTTCTACCTTGAGCATTTCTGCAGTAACATCATCATCATCTGCTGTTTTATTGTCTTAGTCTTAGTCAAGCTTTCAGCTTCACTGCAGTCAGACATACTGCGTTCCTCTGCCAGTGGGAATCAAATGAAATGTAACTCACTGTCCCATCTGGTGAACAAACGATTAGTCCCAGCGCACATGCTTTACACAGACGATCCCAGTAAATGTATGAGGCAGTTGCTAGAGGTGCCAACGTCAAAGGTGTTTACCAGAAATGCAGTTTGTCGTTGATGGAAGTAGTCAGTCACGATAAACTGGCCATACACAGGTAAAATTATTACATAAGGTATTTCGCCAACCCACA